GCTACTCGGGACAGGCCTTTGACACGTCGTAAAACTGTCGTAGTAGCGAAACTAATTGGAATATTGCAAAACTAAAAATAGTGGCGTAAACGTCAACATTTTTCCCATCTATGTAGTATAAAGGAAGTCGAAAAATACTACATTTACTTGCTTTGAAAAATTCCTGAAGAAAATGGCGAAAAACTATATTTTGTAAAGTTACAACTGCTAAGGTATGTAGCAAAAAAAAATATTCGCCATATTAAAAAATTTTACTTACATAAAAGTTGCACCCAGGTGTCGGCTTGAAAACGTAATTGACAGAATTTGCCTATCTCATTCCAAAAATGAATGGCAGCCATTTCCGCAAGGCGGGGCTACTTGGGACATCCCCCCGGGGCTATTAGGGACACGCATTTATGGTACCCAAAAACTCATTTACGGTAGAACCTCAGTTAGCAAAGGCTCCAGTTAAGAACAAATGGATTAAAAACAAAGAATATTGATTACATTTACCTTGCTGAGCGAAAAAAAGTTCACTTATCGTCACACAAATTACAAGCCGTCCTGTATGCTTACAGATACAGAAAAAAATGCTATAAGGCTGCTGATATGAAGCTTGCAGTGAACAAGGTTGTTGTTAATGCACAATGGCATGTTCATGGATAGGGTAATATTGGTAATATCACATCAATAATACAGTAATATCCCATCAATAATAGGGTATGGTCAACTGGGGTATTTGGCCCTGTTCATAATGATGGCCAAAGCGGTCATAAATGGTCATAAACAATGGCCAAAATCACTCTGGTGTTTATGACCTGGTTTACAACCCTGGCGTTTATGACCCCGGCGTTTACGACCCCAGCATGAATCAAAAACGAGGCCAAAGTCACCCCAGTTGATGGTAATTAATGTTTATGGTAATATCATATCAATAAAGGAAAAACAAGTAAAAATCACAGATAATGTCATTTATTCTACCTCTACATTGTCTACAATGAAAGAGGAGGACTTCAGAGTACTGTTAGTAATGGATGAGTACCCTCTGCTTGCTTCAAATGTTTTGAAATGAAGTTTTATTCCCATTGTCCGGAGTAGCCCCGACAATTAGATTACTCCGGACAATCTTTATTTTGCGTCTGGCACCTTAGGAATAGCATATGGAATTTTTTTAACAATGCCATTCGATAGCCCTGGCAAAGAGCTATAAAATGAGCTTAAATTTGTTTATGAAATGTTTCATTGTAGAAGTTATTAACAGTTATTAACAAAAAAACGATCAAATCTGTCCCGAGTAGCCCCGGTTGACGGTAGTAGTTCTAAACTTCTAGTACGGGTTAGATACAGTACTAATTAAAAGTTAGTTATTTTATGTTTTACCTTCCTTACATGGATGTGTACTTTATTCTACCAATCTAAAAAATTATCCACATAGGTATACCTACATATAAAAATCAGTCTTTTATTTGTATATATATATATATATATATACACATGGAATTTTTTTCGAGATTGGTAGATTAAAGCAGACATCCATGTAGGGAAGGTGAAACATAAAAATAACTATGTAAAAATAACTGGAAGCAAACTGAAACATGAAAAAATACCTGTAAGTGGTAGCTGGTAACAACTTAACAAGTAATGACTAACATGTTGACTTGATAGGCCCTACTAGTACGGTAACAAGCTGAGGTTGACAACTTTACACTGAAAACTTTAGTACAATTTATTCTGTAATTTATATTATGTATGTATCGTGCTGGTTTTTTAATAATATTTAATACTATTAAGTAAAATCTAAAGGCTTTATCTATTAATGTAGCAATAGCACTGTAGCGGCAAAACCTCGTATTGCTACTTGAATATGTAGCGGGCGCTACCGCTACATTGCCTTGAATGTAGCGCCGCTACATGTAGCGCGCTACTGCAGACTGCTCACCTCTGAGGCTAGCAAGTGGCAAATGCTCACAAATAGCTATGGCAATGGCATGAAGTTAATAATGCGATCTATTGGAGTGGGAGAATTCAATTAGATTATTTTATATACTTATAAAATAGCATTGTCCAAGTACAGGTAGAGACCTTTGAGTCTGAGGTTAGTAAATAGGTTACCAGTTCCAAACTCAAAGCAGGTGAGAGTTGGTGACTTGGAGTATCACAAGGTGCTGTTCTGTCACCAACACTCTTCACTGTGATGCTGCACAATCTTCCATGCCCACCCTTCCTTGAGGTCCTTCATGTGAACCTGGAGTGATTGCAGAGAGGAAACCTTTGCTGCCCCTATGCAGACAACATTAAGCTCACAAAATGAAACAGCTCCAAGGACTTCCAGCAGAACTATTAAAGACAAAACTCAAGATAAAATGCCTCCCAATAAGGAAATAAGAATAATGTAATGGAACTAAAGCTTAAGAAATAAGCTTAGTAATTTGAAACTCCAGATTTACAGCACAAAACTTCCCCTTATCTGCCTATGTGAAACATAGCTATCTGCATAATATCATGAAATGGGGTAATAAGGGATGGTTTTGAGAGTTTTTTGTTGATAACTTCTTACCACTAAACATTTCATAAACAAGTTTGGGCTCATTTTAAAGTTCTTTGCGAGGGCTATCTAATGGCATCTTAAAAAAAATTCCATATGCTATTTGTAAGGAGGCAGACTGCAGACACAAAATAAAAGCTTCCCAAATTACCCCTGGGAACGGTATAATCCAGGACACTTGAAATAAAACTCATATTTAAAACGTTTGAAGCATGCAGAGTGTACTCATCCATTACTAACAGTACTCTGGACTCCTCTTCCTTTGTAGATGATTTAGATATAGAATAAATGACATTTTCTGTTATTTGACTTGTTTTTCCTTTATTGATATGATATTGCCATATCCATGCATTATTGTATTAGTACATATTGATGTGATATTACCGTATCCATGGACATGTCATTGTGCATTTACAACGACCTTGTCCGCTGCAAGTTTCATATCTGCAGCCATGTAGCATTTCTTCTTTATCTGTGAGCTTACAGGATGGCTTGTAATTTCACACTATTTTAATTGGGTCAAGTTAATTCACTCTAACGAAAAATATAACTCTGTTCTCACTGCAGTGAGTGACAGAGCGCGCATTTTCTCGTCAACAAAAACGTGAAGTCATGAACAGAGAGACAGACGGACATGAGGAGCGTTTTTTCCATAAATGAGAAAATGCACTAAGAAGATTATAAAAACATACCTGAAACAGAAAAGAATATTTAGTGACAACCATCATATTTTTTAGAGAAATAAATCATAGTTTAGGTTAATTACTTTTATTCTAGGAAAAGTTGTTGCCCAGTGCACAATTCTCTATGACATTCTATGCACAATTTTGTGATGATCATTAATTTTTTGTGATGATCATGATGATGATGCATTAATTTTTCCTGAAGTGAAATTTTTTCGCTGAGTGAGGTAATTGTAATCAAAATTTTGTGTTTTTAATTGATTGTTTGGTTAACTGGAGCCTTTGCTGAGGTTCTACTGTAAATGTATTTTTAGGGGTCTCCCTTATCCACTATGCAGAGGGTGGATGCAGTGTCGGCAATACGGTATATGGATTTTTAAGCCCAAAGCGTCGCCGGCCATTTTAAAGATGCGTCGCCGGGTAATTTTTAATGAAAAGCCATTTTCGCTGACGCTGAGTAATGACAAACTATTTACAAGCCACGAACTTATTACAAGGTTGCATGCACGTGTTACCCCAAATAACTAATTTTACCCTAAAAACAGTCCGGTTGTACAGCAAGTGTCAACTGAACATGTAATAAAGCAGTCTGACCGCTCTAATGCGACCGAAACTACGCAATCGAAAAAATGTTGTTTACATTTTTTGCGGGAACTCATCGCAACTGATTTCCGGACAAGCTTCGCTGCATCGTAATCCATCCAACGTACCGGAAACCTTACTTTTTTTCTAAATAGTTGGCTGAAGACTGAGAAATATATTAAATGCAAGAATTTCAATCTAAATGTGTCGGCAAGATCTTCTGAAGGCGAAAATTTTACCGATAATGCGTCGCCGTAGGTCTTTAAATCTTCGTTCACTCTCTGCACAGTGGTCCCTTATTACCCCATTTTGTAGAAATGGCTGCAATTTTTTTTTTTTTTAATGAGATAGTCAAAGTCCGTCAATTGTGTTTTTAAGCCAACACCTGTGTGCAACTCTTGTGTAAATAAAAATTTTTAATGCAACAAATTTTTTTTGCTACAGACCTTAGCAGAGGTACGTTTCCAAAATCACAATTTTCACACTTTTTTCAGGGATTTTTTAAAGGTAGTAAATGTATGATTTCCAAACTTGTTTTATACTACAACATAGATAGTAAAAATGTTGAACTTTATGCCACTATTTTTAGTTTTACAATACCAGTATTTTGATTAGTTTAGCTGCTACAACATTTCTATGAAATGTAGAACGACTGTCGCGATTTAGCCCGTTTGATGGTACCTTCTTGATTGGAACATTTTCCTACTTGATACTGAAATTTCTCTTCAAAAGGACATATTTTATAGTGGCAGTACCTCTTGATACTTTTCCTTTAAAGTGACATATTTTGTGATAACTTAAGAATCTTGAAGCTTGATTGTATACCTACTTATGTTTATGATTAGAAATAATTCATCTAGCAGGAATCATGTGAATCCAAAAATGGCACATAGCTTGCAACCAATGCAACACAAATTTAAAAAAAAAGAGTAAAAGCCAGCTGTAAATGAGACAAAAATACCTGCGGACATCAAAAGTTTGACTTGTTCCAATGGCCCTTGCCTAATGAATTTCTTTTTTAAAATGGCACCTTTTTTGCCTGCAACTTTTCAAACCAAACCCAAATTTTCAAACAGATTTGCTGCAAATCTGTCATTATAAGTTAATGGCATCAAGTGTGATTATCTAAAACAAATTGAGAATTATTTAAGAATATTACATTTATCAATAAAAATATTATGTTCCTCTATTTTATTGATTATTCAGAAACTAGTGGTATGGATTTTAAAATTTTTCTGAAGCTTTTTGTGACTTTTTTATGTGCTATCTTGTCACATAGCTTTTGCAAAGCTTTTACTGAAGACCAATCATTAACAGAAGAATATTGTACAGCAACTACATCTGATACATGTGGTTCCAACACCATTGCTCCTATGAAAAAAAAGTAAGTTCATTCAATATATATAATGCGGTTTTTTAGTAATGTGTCAATAAATTCCTGCCTAGAGAAAAATATTAGTATTTTTGTTTCTGAAAGTTAGTACGGATGCATTGCTTCTTTGTTCTAACCTCTGTTGAACACTGCTGAGCATCTTTATTTTTCTAGGACAATAACTAGGATTTTTGTGCATAGAGTTACGTACCTGTAATTTTTCTTGTGTATTGAACCATAGCTTTTCACTTCAAAAGCTGCTTCATTTAAGAAGGGATTGTTAAATCAGTTATATAAATAAATTTTGATATCATGAGCACTTTTTTCTTCTTGTCACTTCTTGTTCAATCAAAATATAGAATAGAAAATATATATTTTTAATTGTAATGCCATTTCTCATACTGCATCGTGTAAATTGAGCCCTCATTTGGCTAACAAGATATTGGAACAAAGTGGGTTGATATGGAAGATATCATTAAATTCTTCTTTTCTCAAATATGCATGGCACTATATTTGAACTGATAGCATGAAGTACCATCAACTGGGGTGACTTCGGCCACCACTACAACAGAAAAAAATGGCAGCAAAACAAAATAATAAATGTTGTATGAAGTCACCCACAGTGGCCAAAGTCACCCCAGTTGCCGGTAAGTGAATAACAACTTCTGCTAAGTCACATAAATATGATTCGGTAATTTTATGTCAATATTTATAAATCATTGAAAAATAATTAATATTACATGCCATTCTGTCCCAAACTGTATCAATATCAGAATATATCTCTCAATATATCAGAATATATCTCTCCTACCATGACGATATTCTGTCTTATGCAATCCAACATTTCAGATATTTACTCTATTCAGTGAACATTGGTGAAGGCTTCAACCTACGTCGGGATGTCTACCTTCGATTTGCTACATTTGTGCACTCTCTTAATGTCAAGACGAGGATGCTCAATGAGGAGTGGATATTGGCAAGTGTTGAGCCATGCAAGATAATTAGTAATTAGAATTAATTTTACAAATTATGTATATTATTGTTCCAGTAACCTCTTTGCAGTGTTTGTATTCGTTCTCCATTAAAAAATGAGCAAGTTCTTTCAATCCTTTCAAATTTCTTCAACCATTTTCTTTCAGCTCCAATGAACTGGTAGTTTTTAGTTAGTTTTGATTTATATTATAATGATAATAATTGCAAAGATGATAGGAAATAAGATATAGTCAAATGGGGTAAGACAGGATCGCAGCCTTCATGGGGTAAGAAAGGACCAGCCCATGGCATGCATTCTAATTGCACTGAATTTAATTTGATAAAAGAATATGTTAGAGCAATCATTGCCTGCCATTTCAGTGTTTGTTTCAACCCTCTTCTGCAAATAATGAATTTCTGGCTAATTTTTAAAGAAAACCTATGTAAAGAAGGGTCACAAAATAGTTAACCCTGTTTGGGAAATAAGCTCTGTCTAATGACAAAAAATTTTTTGGCCAGGTTTGTGGATGTAGGCAGGTAACCTCGAGTAAAAGGCAACATTTGAGACATACTAGGCATTCCTACCTGCTACCATCACTGCCTGACATGTATTCTAAAATGGGGTAAAAAAGGACCGGACATGGGGTAAGACAGGACCACTAAATGATCCTGTTTTACCACACAAGTGGTCCTATCTTACCCCACAAATAGTCCTCTATTACCCTAGGTACCGTTTATCAAAAATAGTTTTTAAATTAATATATTATTGTGCAGTACATGGAGTATTTTGGTCAAAAATTTTATCTATGGCTCAAACTTCATTATAACTTGTTAGCTTTTTTAATTAGAGAAATTTAGTGCACTATTTTAAATTGCATCAAATGGATATAGAAAATAGGGATGTCTCTTCCCATTAGTGAGCTGCAGAACTGTGTGCTAGATTGGCTGGGGGAAAAATCACTGTGTGAAACATGAAAAATAATTATGATCACAACTCTGTGAGAGGGCATGAGCTATGTTTGAAGAAGTGCACCACAAATGCAGTTAGCAAGAAAACACATGACGTCTGACACTTAAGTTATTATCCATTGGTTTTATTATCAATTTGATAAATTTTTCAGACAATGACACTAATGGAATATACATGAAGCATTTAGCAGTGCTCTACAATGAACCAAAGCCAACCCACTATTACTATGCTTAACAAAGTTTTTTCATGACAAAAACTCCAATGTGACTGATATTAGAGTTGACTTCCTGCAACACAAAACAGTAACCAGTGGTTGTTTAATCATATAATGTGTTTCTAGGTTGATAATATTGAATATCAGATTTGTACTTTTATTTAAAAACCTTGTAACATAAGAATTACCACTTGGTCCTGTCTTACCCCAGCCTGGTCCCATCTTACCCCAATGGGGTAAGAAGGGACCAGCTCACTTTTTTTAATCTGTACAGAAAACTGTGTTGTATGCAAAAAATCTGAGTTGTAGCTTAGAAGCATATTGCATAGATACACCTTGTGATAGGTTTAGGGTTTTTTAGTTATTCATGGTATAGATGCTACAGGCTTGTTAGTGATTTCGGTCCTGTCTTACCCCATCTGACTATATATATATATAGGTATTAATAAGAAATTTATTAACATCTCAGAGGTGCTTGACTTCAGATTGTTGATGATGATGTTATCTAACATTATTTAATTAATAATTAATATTTAATTAGTTATTTTACTGAACAGGTTCTGCCGCCATGGGACAATGTATATCATTGGTTCAACAGGCGCAGTGCTCCCCCTGCTGCCTGGGCAGACTTCTTTGACTTGAAAAGTTTCAACAAATATGTTCCTGTGATTGAGCTGCAAGAATATTTAAATGGTATTCTATTCTATATTCTATTATTCTATATTATTCTATTATAGGTATTCTTATCATTTCTAATATATCTGTTGATTGTTATCTATCTCGTGGTTTTATAGTGATATTTATGTTGTATTATTATCTTCTTATTTATTACTTCATTGTATTATAGGTATTCTTATCATTTCTATTATATCTGTTGATTGTTATCTATCTTGTGGTTTTATAGTGATATTTATGTTGTATAGGTAATATCTTCTTATTTATTACTTCATTGTATTATAGGTATTCTTATCATTACTAATATATCTGTTGATTGTTATCTATCTTATGGTTTTATAGTGATATTTATGTTGTATAGGTAATATCTTCTTATTTATTACTTCATTGTTTGCTCCCTGAGGGAGTCCTGATTAATGTCTCAGGGCTCAGGCTTTTGCCAATGTGTTTGCTTAAAATGGAGAAATCAAAGAAATCTGTAACCTAATCATTTGTTGTATTGAGAATTAAATCGATATTATTGCTTTATTCGATATATATTCTATCTCTATATTGCTCTATAATCGATATACAAGCTCTATTTGATACTCTGCATTAATTTTGCTATGAATTTGGAATAGCAGCTGTAGTGGATCAGTTGTTCTTCACTGCGGCTATAACTAAAACATATCTGATTACATTTTCCATGTAATGAATTTCATTGGAGAGAATGAATTATTCATATGTGCTTGTTAGTTGACAACTTTCAGAAGGTGTGGCAGTTGGGGACAAACAATTTAAAATATGCTTCAAACCTAGCCCTGTCATGGCTGCTCGATTTATTTCTTTTCATAAAAAAAACTCCATTCAATTTTCGGTGGATTAGAATAATGGTATAGAAGTAACTCTATCATAATTGTAAATTGAATCTAGATTGATGGAAAATGGATACTGGGATTGTGGATAACTCAACAGTAATTTTCCACAGCACTTGGCTGACTTTGCTTATGAAGATTCAAGTAAAATGTAGCCTTGCATTTGTTGCTTTATCCTTAAGTTATAACTACAACCCTGTTGCAGAAATGGGCAACTCCATACAGAGTTTCTACGTCCTGCAGCACTACGCTGAAGGCTGGGGCTGACTTTGCTTATGAAGATTCAAGTAAAATGTAGCTTTGCATTTGTTGCTTTATCCTTAAGTTATAACTACAACCCTGTTGCAGAAATGGGCAACTCCATACAGAGTTTCTACGTCCTGCAGCACTACGCTGAAGGCTGGGGCCAAAACTGGCAAGAAAAGTTTGATATTCGACCCTGCATTGAACCTCAAAATTTCAGGTGAACGTTCAAGCATAGGAGGTAGATCAGCCTATAGTCTATCATTTGAACATTAGAGCAAATATATCATTAAAATTTCAGCACAATATTAACTGTACTAATCTATACTAATGAAAATAACTCTCTAATTGTGAGCATAACATGCAATACTACAAGATTTCACATATAATGAATAAAACTGCTTTATAGAACATTTTCTCATTGCATTTTTCCTTTTGTGTGACTGCTCATTTTTCTGTTTACCTACAAAAGGTGGTGTTATATTTTCTATACTTGGTTCTTTGCTATGATTTTCTATGATATTTCATACTTTACTGTTGATGTGATAAATTGTGCTGGTGCTTAACGTCTGCAGCAAGTATATGGACAGAATTCTAAGGTTTTGACATAAAAATGTCACAAACTGTGAAAGATAGCCATGCTAGAAGGTTCAAAACCATGTAATATTTCTACACAAGAAAGTGTAAATCTGCAAAACCCTGAACACCAGAAAGCCCCAGCCTGCAGAACATTGCCACAATGGAAGGCCTCAAGACGTGAAACATTGCCTCTGTGAAAGATCTTAACCAGTGGCCATACTTTCAAAACTGGCTAAGTGAACGTAAGACTTACGCTCTATTTTCTTGTCTATGATTGGTGAATTTGGCTTGAAAGGCCGTCAATGATTGGCTGATGAACTTACGATCTCTTAACTTTTTTTGAAAGTATAGGCCCTGGACTCTTATGGTCGTGCAGAAAGTGATAAGGTTAACTTATAAAGCGTTAACCTTATAAGGTTAATTTATAAGGATAACTTATCACGCAGAAAGTTGATAAATGTCTCACGGGAGGTAACCACATACCACGCAGGAAAGTAACCACATGCCACGCAGGAAAGTAACCACATGCCACGCAGGAAAGTAACCACATGCCACGCAGGAAAGTAACCACATGCCACGCAGGAAAGTAACCACATGCCACGCAGGAAAGTAACCACATGCCACGCAGGAAAGTAACCACATGCCACGCAGGAAAGTAACCACATGCCACGCAGGAAAGTAACCACATGCCACGCAGGAAAGTAACCACATGCCACGCAGGAAAGTAACNCGCCTCTACCCTCACTCCCCTCGTGGCACGCGCGCCATCCAGGTAATGGCAGCGCCTCTACCCTCACTCCCCTCGTGGCACGCGTGCCATCCAGGTAATGGCAGCGCCTCTACCCTCACTCCCCTCAGGACGGCGCTAAGAGTCAAGATTTCTTGTTTCTTACAATCACTAAAACATGTCGCTCTCTAATTTTTTTATTATTTTTGAGCTGTTATATGTTCCTTATTTGACTTCAGTCTTAAACCATGCCAACCTGAGGTGTGGCTTGCTATTTTATAAAATTTAAATGTAAATTTTGTGAATCCTTTTCAAGCGCAATGTCCTTATACATATTGCCTTTGTTCGTATTCAAGTACAATGGGTTAGGATTTTTTCACTATTTCTGGTTTAAAACAATATTCTGGATCCCATTTATTGAAGTAAAATTTTGTGCAGTGAAAGGTTATCAGATGTAGATATCCAGTTGTTTTTTTTACAGCAGTTGGATCACATTCCAGTAATTAAAAACTAGTATTTAATGTACGTTTCAGATAAGTGTTAAAGTACAACCGAATTGATAATTTAAATGATTCTTTTCTTTAGATAATTTTCAAACGACTACGTATTCGGTATACTTTCGAAGAGTTAAGTTTACCGATTTCAATTGTTTGTTGTATTTAAATGTTTTTAATTGACAATTATTACTGTATTTGTTATTTTCAGTAGATTTTTAAGGCATTGATCAATTTGTATGGTAGATTTTTATGATGATGAGCTTGTGTTAGTAGGTATTAATTTCAATAGTTTCTGATAGTCTCTATTTTTATGATGATGACCTTAAGTTATTAGTTATTAGTTTGTAATAGTCTCTGCTTCACGTTATTCAGCGTAGCATTTGCTCAAGGACAAACTGTCCTGCACGACAATTATCACAGTTTTTTGTTATTTTCAGTAAATTTGTAAGGCATTTACCAATTTTTATAGTATATTTGTATGATGATAGCCTTAAGTTATTAGTTTGTAATAGTCTCTACTGCACGTTATTCAGCATAGCATTTACTCGGGGAGAAACTGTCCTGCACGACAACTTGGGACCGCTGACAATTATCTCTGAAGAACACCGTATTTGTTATTTTTCAGTATATTTGTAAGGCATTTATCGATTTTTATGGTATATTTTTATGATGATGACCTTAAGTTATTAGTTATTAGTTTGTAATAGTCTCTACTCCACGTTATTTAGCATAGCATTTGCTCGAGGAGAAACTGTCCTGCACGACAACTTCGGGGACCGCAGCTACTGGCGCGGCAGACGCTCCATGCGCTTCGCTGCCGACCTCGTCATGGCCGCCACGCAGTACAGACGTACGAAGCTCAACTCCACCAATGAACGCGACCAAGTTACCCTCGCTTCGGACTGGACGCAACAGACGGTAATTTACAGACGGTAACTTACATGTGAACAGACGGTAATTTTCATGTGAACAGACGGTAATTTTCATGTCAACAGACGGTAATTTTCATGTGAACAGACGGTAATTTTCATGTGAACAGACGGTAATTTTCATGTCAACAGACGGTAATTTTCATGTGAACAGACGGTAATTTTCATGTCAACAGACACATGTGAACAGACGGTAATTTTCATGTGAACAGACGGTAATTTACATGTGAACAGACGGTAATTTTCATGTGAACAGACGGTAATTTTCATGTGATGCAGTATTGAGCTTTTTTATATGTGTTAATCGTTGCAAATTACGTTCTTGTAATTATTTTAAAAGTTATTTGAGCTGATGAAGTTAGGTTTATCAATTACCTTTGAAATATGAAACTCTGCGCACACGCTTTCACTCAACAATTTAGAATTGTTGCCATCTAAAATCTTTCCGCAACTACACATTAATAAATTGTATTAATGTCACTTATTTGCTTAAATCGCAAGTTAACTAAAAATTTAAAAGCAGGAAACGTTTTCTATAAAGATATGAATTTTTGTGGACTATTCTTTGCTTTTAAATTTTTAATTAATAAATTGAATGTGTTCAATTTCTTGTTCTATAGCGCCTTTTTGGTAGAGTACTAATTTATTCTACTATATGAGCTTCTCTTACCTTAAACTTTCCCTCATGTCTTTCATATGAATTCCAGTTCCGTCATTTTGAAATATCATTAATCTACGTTGTCTCATATAATTAGATCTCGTGCTCAATTAGAGTATTGTTCTTATTATGTTTAATTCTCCACTGCTTGCAGCGGACCTCAATTCACACTTCTCTCCACAGTTTAGTTCTCAATCGCAAAACTTTAAATTAAGTTCTAGTTTATAACTACATTACTTCACAAAGTTCATTAAGCACCCTGCATGTTGGCATCCGCAGTATCTGCAGTTTAGTTAGTTCTTAAACGCAAAACTTTACAATTAAGTTCTAATTATTAACTACATTACTTCACAAATAAGTTCATTAAAGCACCCTGCATGTTGACAGAAGGCCCCCCGTCCCCCGGTGGGGGGGCCGTACCTGGGGGCGCACTGGCGACGTCGCGACTTTGTGCGCGCGCGCCCTGGCGACGTGCCTGACGCGCGACGCGCGGCGCAGCAGATCAGGGGTCTGCTAGACCAACTGCGCCTCACTGCGGTCTACCTGGCCACCGACGCGCCCCAGACCGGTGAGTGGAGCGGTCTACCTGGCCACCGACGCGTCCCAGACCGGTGAGTGGAGCGGTCTACCTGGCCACCGACGCGTCCCAGACCGGTGAGTGGAGGGGTCTACCTGGCCACCGACGCGTCCCAGACCGGTGAGTGGAGAGGTCTACCTGGCCACCGACGCGCCCCAGACCGGTGAGTGGAGCGGTCTAGAGTGGGTGAGTGGAGTGGTCTATATCGCGTTCTACACACGGTTAGTGTCGCTGTATACGAAACCAGCCGTGCGATTTTGTAAGATGGAGTTGAGCAAATGTACCAACTCTCAAAATATCCATTTCAAGCACCATCTAAACCTAACACATGACACTTAGAACGCTGGAGCTGGCCGGCAACAACAAAGTCCTTGGACACCCACCACCTGACATAAGCAGCACAGAAACACAGCTCTCTAGACTGGAGAGAGTACACCTAGCCAGGCTTCGCTGCGGCCACCACCCTTCACTACAAACATACGCAAACAGAATAGGTCAAGCGGACACAGACACCTGCCCATCCTGCCAGAGAGCTCCCCACACAATCACCCACATTCTCCTGGAATGTCCGCTCTGGCAGGAACTCAGACAACACCACCACATAACCTCGACCCTACAGCTCTGGAGCGACCCCCTGTCGGTGGTGTCGTACTTGCGCGAGGGGGGTCTCTTGTAAAATTGAGACCGGGGAACCACAACAACAACAACAACCTAACACATTTGTGGAATATGGTATGGCGATATACCAAGTGATACGAAAGGAACTGAAGTGAGTTGTTAATACTGTAATGAATAGTTATAACAGCATAATATTTTCAATGAAGCATGTTTTTCCGTCCAGAGTTTTCATTTTCATAACTCTCTTACATTGGTTCAGAATTTTATTTGACGATTTACGTATGTTGAGTGGGAATCTATGTTTCATGTTCGGCAAAAGAATCATGTTTTCGTCGACGAGAAAATGCGCTCTCTGTCACTCACTGCAGTGAGTACTGAGTTATATTATTTTTGCTCCATTGGGTGCAGAAGTAGCTGAGCTTCGTGAGCAGCTTCACTCTGCGCGAGTGTATCGCTTCACAGACGAGCAAACAGACGGCAGCGCAGCAACAGACGGCAGCGCAGCAACAGACGGCAGCGCAGCAACAGACGGCAGCGCAGCACGCTTCTCTGATGGACAGCTCGCCATCATCGACCAGATCATCGCTTCTCACGCCAGGTCGGGCAGCGGAAATGCGTCTTTCTGGTATTTTTATTTAACTGCTTTTTTTTAGCATTACTTGGTGTTTTAGTGTAGTAATCACTAAACACATTAACTACATAAACATTTTTATTTTATATATATTACTGTCTGCCACAACGTTTGCAGTGTGGATCAATTACGGAATAAGTTTCATGGGCAGGGTTACCGATACTAAAATCGCTACGTATTTTAATATCCTTATCAGAAACTTTGAGCAATCGTTATCTTAATAAATGCCCTTGCGTTCTCTGACGAGACACTTCACTTAGTGCGTGCTCACGATCTTCAACATTGCAGGCATTTCATCGGGACGCACGAGTCAACTTTTTCGTTTCGTATTCAAGACGAGCGAGAAATTCTTGGCTTCCCCGCCGCCTCAACCTTCAACAGACTCTGCGGCTCCAGCGAGCCGTGCGAGCAGCCCGCTCGCTGGCTCATACTTTACTGATCTACGATCTTCTGTTTACTGATCTACGATCTTCTGTTTACTGATCTACGATCTTCTGTATGCTCAAACATGTCCTCTTTTTTACTTTTATTGTTAATTCCTCATTTTAGTCATGGAGAATTTCCACATTTAGATAAGCTCAGTTCTTATATTAAGCGTTTAAAATTTGGAAATGCTTTCCCATTAGTTTTTTATACGAGTCACCAAAGAAATTTGTAGGTTTTATGTACAGCAGCTACTAACCATTATGTCCAAGGGTTTGTTTATTTTATCAATAGGTTTATGAATCTCTAGGTACTCTACAAAACTTTTTAATTTATTTTCTAATTAAGGATGCTATTTCTGCCATTGAAAGCAACAAGCAATAGAGAATATATTATTATAGTCTTTTAATTGTTTTTCTCAGCCCCATTTTTGAACCCCGTGGCCTTTTTGTATGTCGAATGTAGGCAGTTTGTTTTATTTCTAGTCATTCTGCAAAGTATCCACAGAACGTTTAACATTGTGATGGTTTCTCAATGTAGTTACTTCAAAGATCGAAGGTAATGATTGTTCTGTTAAGTTTTAAGTTTTCTCTTTATTAAGTATTCAACAAGCTGCAAAACCTGACGCATTCTCAGGGATTAAGAGTGCTTGCAATCCACTCATTAACCTCTTCTTCGACGACACTCATCGGTCCCAAGCTGTCAAGGATGACGTCATGGAAGTCTTTGATGTCGAACTGACTGCCCAGCTGCTGCTCGGCGCTCGACCTGAAGCTCGAAATCTGCAGCTGCCCAGGGGCCATACTTTCAAAACTCGCTAAGTGGACGTAAGTACTTACGCTCTATTTTCTTGTCTATGATTGGTGGATTTGGCTTGAAAGGCCGTCAATGATTGGCGGATGAACTTACGATCTCTTAACTTTGTTGAAAGTATAGGCCCTGACTTGTAGGCGAGTGCCTGGCCCGGCCACGTGATGTAGCGGTCAACCTCGTTCTGAGAACAAAATTAATGCTTTTGCTTGATAAATTATCTAATTCAAAGTGAATATAGCATTGTTACAATAGGACAGCTTGACCTTTATTGCAATAGTTGGCAACTTGTTTTCAGAATGGAACAATACAACGATAGAAAATAAATTAGCATGCAACGAAGATTTTTTTCGACTAGTCGATTGTGGCCTTAAGTGGGAAATACGGACGGAAAAGGCGGAAGACGACGGACGGAAAAGTCCACGAAGCGAAATGGGATATATGATTAAAATTTTTGAAGGGAAAATTAGACATGACAATGATGAGATTGACAGAGCTCATCTCGGCCTCGAGCGCCGACTGGGCGGTGTACTGCAGAATATAATCAACAGCTTCCTGTCTCGTCCAGCCCAAAGCGTGCATGCCTGGTGGTGACACAAACGTTCAGATTTTCTCGCTTGCAATTCAAACCATTCCGCTTATTAAATAATAATTAATAAAAACTATCTATGATTGAGAGTCACAAGATAAGTTCGAAGCTTCATTATATTTTGTTCGGTTAAATTTCAAAACTGATACGATGATTGTATACAGAGTAGCGTCATTACCTAGTAACCATTCTCGATATACACGCCTCTGTTCCACGTAATACGCCTCGGTAGATATTAAATCCAGAGATAATTTTAAAAAACATTTGAGTGCATAAACAACTGTCGTTACGATTAGTTTGAGTCTGCGAATCACCGACATGTGGAACAGCCTCCCCGATGACATCGTTGGCGCTCCAAGTATGAACGCGTTCAAGAACAGACTAGATAAAGCTATGGAAAAATATATGTTCAGATTTGAAATGCCTAGCTCCTTATCGAACCCGGTGGAAGTCTAGTAGCTACTTCAAACTATCGCCAGTCATGAAAAGATCCGGTCAAATGACACGATTTTAGATCTATGAACAAGGCACGAAAACTAAAATAATTGGAGACAGTTCCCATCAGGCCTACACTTCAGCGCCGAGATCACTATGTTATGTTTTGTTATAAAAGTTTTCAACTTGTACTCCGGTATAATAATTTTTGCTACTTGATATTTACAGTCTTACTATCAAATCATCTGCACTTGCAACCTAAAGATGGCTGCTGTGTGCACTTAACATTATTACCCTAGTTCTAATATACATAGCGTTACCATTGTCTCCTAGTCCCTAGTTCATTGCGTTACCGGTGTCGACAACGAGTCTGCAGGCGCGGAAGATCTTACCATTGTTTCCTAGTCCCTAGTACATTGCGTTACCATTGTTTGCTAGTCCCTAGTACACAGCGTTACCATTGTTTCCTAGTCCCTAGTACACAGCGTTACCATTGTTTCCTAGTCCCTAGTACACAGCGTTACCATTGTTTCCTAGTCCCTAGTACACAGAGTTACCATTGTTTCCTAGTCCCTAGTACACAGCGTTACCATTGTTTCCTAGTCCCTAGTACACAGCGTTACCGGTGTCGACAACTAGTCTGCAGGCGCGGAAGATCTCGTCCGAGTAGTGGCCATAGCGCTCGAGGAGGTCGCCGTACAGGTTCATGTCGAAGCCTGTGCTCTCGGCGTACAAGCCCCAGCCCTCCATGTAGCACGCGCGGATCGGGAACCTAATTTAAATTACCAGAGTCAATTTTCAGAGTACAACAACAACATCAGATCAGAAACAACAAGTTTTTCTCTGATTTAGTCTCACGAACTTCATTAGATTATGTTAATTATGACGCATATTAGGATTTTAAGCGACTGAATCTTCCGCAATAAATATTCCCTTAGGAGTGAAAGCCACGATTGGCAGTCACGAACTATAAATTATGTATTAAAGTCCCAATTTCAGACTTCACAAATCTGTTTACCAAATGAAATCGGCAAAGAACATAGAAACTAATGGATTCCTATTCCAAGGTTCAAATGTTGATTTAGAGGAAGAAAGCCTCCTTTTTTCTTATAATAGAAACCTTGACACAAAGGGTTCGCTTTCTCTTGTACTTTTGAATATACATGAGAAGATTTTGATTCCGCAGTAAATACGTAGGAGCTATTACCAGGAAGATAGTTTTTCCAAATTTTCAAAGCTTACCCTATACTAATGCGCTTTCAGTGACGAAATCAGTTACAAAAAATTGTCGAAAGTATGCAGTGCTCGATTTTTTTATTATTCCCGAAAATTCCTTGAAAGGAAAAAAGAATTAAATGATCCCATAGATCCTTTTATATATAGTAACAATATATTACTGAAAATGTGGAACATATTCCATAGTAGTTGAAAAAATAATTGTCATTATTTGACTAAAGAACTTGCCTTGAAGGAGCGTATCCGTAGTTCCTGTCCTCCATGGCACTCCTGAAGTAGGGTAAGTTAGGAGACTCGAGGGCATAGGAGCCCTGGGGTCGCCTGCCGAAGACCACCACTGCCCTGGATGTAATGGACCATCATGAATCCTGCCTTCCGGAACGTAGCCTTCAACACTTCAAGCCGTCCGTATCTAGGCCGTGGGTCGAACCAGCCCTCGGTCGAACGACCACTTGTCGAAGGACGATAAGTTTTGGAACAGAACTATGCTATCTGAAACCTAACCTCAGATGCCGTAAGCGTAAAATTACGTAATTTAACGATGTCCGGAAGTCATATTCGATCCGCGGCCTGGTGGTGCACGGCAAGTGGTGGTCAAGGCCGGAAGAGGACAAAGCCGAGTGGTGCACGGCTGATTGGTGGATGTCCGGAGAGATCCAAGGCGTTCGATTCAGGGCTTATTGGTGCACAAAATTGGTGGTGCACGACTGCGCTCCCGGAGCCCTGCAGGTGATGGCCAAGGTTACCCTCGTGCAGAGAGAGGGTAAGCATCCCGTACTTGGGGGATGAGTTAAGATCCTGCGTGCCCACGTAGAACACGCCGGGCCGTGACCCGTCGTCCGAGCCCGCTAGATAATAGGCGCCCGTACCCGTAGGGTCGGCCTGCACTCTGTGTACGTACGTCAGATACGTGGCTGTTAATGCTACGTCAGATACGTGGCTGTTAATGCTACGTCAGATACGTGGCTGTTAATGCTACGTCAGATACGTGGCTGTTAATGCTACGTCAGATACGTGGCTGTTAATGCTACGTCAGATACGCTGTTTGTGATGCTTTATTTTCCCGTATCGTGACGCCATGGGTGCGGGGTGGTTAAGATTCACAGCACCAAAATTGGAACAGTGAGTTGCAAGTTCAATACAGCACTCAACTGCAGGCTACTAAATTCTGATCAAAATCGGCGAGGTGGCCGGACGGTTAAATCAAAGTGAAAATTGGCCAGCAGTAAAACTTCTGCGCCGTTCAGAATTGGCGACAGGCCTGATAGCCTAATCTTTTATCCTGACAGCGCTTTTTATTACCATTTGTGACCGAGGAGACAGACACCTCAATAAAGTTAGACTAATAGTTTGGAAATGACCTTCACAGGTTTGTTCGTCGAAATATAACAACTGAGATCGATAACCGGTCTCTGATCTATATTATTTTGACTTCTAACTGACTGCCAATTGTATAGAACTAGAGATGACTGAATAAGTCACTGATTGTTCAAGATTGATGTAAGCTATGCGCATGAAACTGCGGTTCAACTTATCCACGCGACAACGTTTCTTCTCGCTTCGAGTCACTGACATGTGGAACAGCCTCCCTGAAGATATTGTTGACGCTCCGAGTATGAACGCGTTCAAGAACAGACTAGACAAGGCCATACATGAGCATATGTTCAGTCTAAAATGCCTCGTACCCTACGGAACAACTGATATCTAGGAGCGATTTTAAATCTACCGTCCGTAAGGCCAGTCTAGTCAAGAAAAGTACAAGAATCGGCGACAGGCCTATCCAGGCCTATTTATTTAATGCTGCTACGTCAGATACGTGGCTGTTAATGCTACGTCAGATACGTGGCTGTTGTAGCTATGTCAGATACGTGGCTGTTAATGCTACGTCAAATACGCTGCCTTTGATGCTTTATTTTCCCGTATCGTGACGCCATGGGTGCGGGGTGGTTAAGATTCAGAGCACCAAAATTGGAACAGTGAGTTGCAAGTTCAATACATCACTCAACTGCTCAAATTTCTACTCAAAATCGGCGAGGTGGCCGGACGGTTAAAGCAAAGCGAAAATTGGAGGAGTACGTGGTTCCTGCAGCCAGCTGTGAAACTTCTGCGCCGTTCAGAATTGGCCGCAGGCCTAGTAGCCTAATCTTTTATCCATACAGTGCTTTTTCTGCTATATGTGTCCGAGGAGACAGACATCTCAATAAAGTTAAACCAATAGTTTGGAAATGACCTTCACAAGTTTGTTCGTCGAGATATAACGACTGAGATCGATAACAGGTCTCTGATCTATATTATTTAGATTTTAGACTTTTAATTTGACTGTCAAATGAATAGATGACTGAATAAGTCACCTAGATTGTTCAAGTTTGATGTAAGCTATGCGCTTCACGCATGCGCGAGAATTAGGGTGAGAGTAAATCACTCAATTGGTTAGCTCTCAGTGGTGCCTTCGGTGATCTGTCATAACTTTGATATAAAGACAATTCTAACTTACTATTTTATTTTGAAAAAGTTGAGTATCTTCAGGCGATCGACGCTACGAGTGCTCAAAGTATTTGAAACTTTAAGTATAATGAATGATTATTCAATCGATCAAGTAAGACGCAATTCGTAGATGTGCATTACTCGTGATTATGGCCATGAGTCAACGAATTCGGAATATAATTAATAACTAAACCATTTATTTGCGTCAATACTTGGTAGTATTTGAACCCACGCCAATTCACTGTAACCCAATTTATTTCAGACCTTGAAAGTGTATTTATTCATTACACCAATATTATAACTGCTTAATAACATAATAATAATATGAATTATTTTATATATAATGAATTCATTAGATCGCCATTCGATAATATACGAAATTGAATGCCAACATTTAATTCAGAAAATATATAGAGATCCTTAATGAAGAGACAAATCTGGGATATAAAAGTTAGAGAAAGAAGCCATGAAGCTCACATGATTTCAGCAGACGGAATGTTTTTGAAGATGAGCGGCACCGCGGGCGTGGTGACGTTGTAGACGACGTAGCGGAAGCCGTTCAGTAGATCCACCTCTGCTGTGGTGTAGAAGTTGGCAGGGTCGTTCAGGATCATGTTGGAGAAGTTCTGGGTCGACATGTTGTAGCCGAGCTCGTACACGAACTGCGTAACAACGATAGTTTAATATTTGGAAATAGGATTTAAATTATAAGAATCTAGTTTCAATGAAAATAGACTTCAAGTAACGCATTTGATTTACATGAAGATTATTGCAGATATATTTTTCTACATTAACACGTCACTAAGTAGTTGTGTATGAAGTTCTAAATAAGCGATTATTACGAAAATGATTAGCAAACCTCTTGCATGGGGGCTTCTATCCTTGCTACTTCATTGAAGCCAATTTGCTGAATTTCTTCTGGGGTTTTCTGGAGGCCAGCGTGGAATGTGAAGCATAATTAAATGCGGAGCTCGTGAAATCTGAACCCCGTGAACTCATAAACCAACTCATCATAAGCATTCTGAAAAGCATAAATAAATTTGGCCTCACCAAAACACCCGAATTATTTAGGCTTTCTGCGATACATATTAAATCTTTTTAGTCGTTTCCTTCAGCTTTTTCTGCTTAAATAAACCTGCAATTAGTAGTATCATTGTTAATATCGCTTTCGTTCTTATTTATCCTAATAATAACACATTCTTATTCCAATATTTTCATAATATATTTCATCAATGGAACGGCAAATAAATAAAGATATTTCCTATAGATTTGGGAATTTATCTACTTTTCTAAGAACGGACAGGTTACCAGAAATCATTCCGATCGTTTTTTAAGTTTTGAACATATTTTTAAAAGTTAAAGCTTTGTACATGATAGGTTTAAAGTTTTTCGTCGCCTCGGAGATTATCAATACAATGTCGTATCGGCACGATGAAAGTTACCGCAACTCGAATATCCTAACCTCCATTGCGAGAGATTCATATCTACTTGGTAAATGTGTATGACTTGGGTCTGTCGAAAAGTTTTGCTGCAGCTCTCGTGCTTTCTTTTCAACTGCTCGCATATTTGAAACAAAATCATCATTCCCCTCATCGCATCAATGTAGTTCATTTACCCTGGCTGCAAATCGCATGCAATTGATCATATAAATACATGGCAGCTGCGTATAATTATCATTATTATCATATATGATAATTATCATTATTATATATGCAGCAATAGGGCATTTCAAGTCGGTTCAAGGTTCAAGTCGGTTACGGAGCTCACCTATCCAGTGTGGAAGAACGGGATCTAAATTTAGCAGACAGCCTAGCGTGGAAGTCAGTATCGGGATGAAAGACAATGTGTTCAATAAAACTGGATCGCATGCCCTTACACGACTCCCCTCTAAGAAAATTGAGAGCGTGCCTTAATATTTTAACTAAAATTAAGGGTATGTGCTTGCCCGAATGGCAATTATTGCAATACTCAAATCAACAGATTATTATTGCAATACTCAAATCAAATCATACTAACACTAACTTATAAATTCTGAAGCACTATGTACATACAAACAACAAAACTACTAAGAAGCAAGACGAACGAAACGCGTAAGAAAGTTGATCGTAATTAAAGAAGTTACACTTCGAGTAAAGGCTGAGTGAATCAGCTCCCACGTTTCCCCCCCTCCCTGGAATATAAATGGTTCTGAAACGGTGTGGTAGCAGTTCTGGTTCTGAAACGATGCCCAGCTAATGAGACGGCTGTTGCTTCTCTTAAACTTGTTCAACTTGTAAACGACAGGAAAATGTCGTTCCCAAAATAAATTGCTTTTTATTAATCGTTTGTACGATTTTAATGTATCACCATACGGCACACTTCTATTTACGAGGTAGCACGCATTGTGTAGTCGCGCCATGCACATTGCGTTTGGACCTATTATGCGTATGAGCTGCGCGAGTGAAGCTGGTCGTGATCGACGCTCGTGGACTCAGCGTTGTCAGATGGTATATTTCTATACCAGATTTCACAAACATGGTATTTTCAGGTGTCTGGTATGAATATTATAGATCTGGTATTCAGGTATATTTGCCTAAATCCGGCATTTTTATGGCATTCTCTGACATACTGCAAATTTAAGTTCCACCCAGAAGTTTGAACTTTACCAATGCAGGCGTGGATTATATAGATTACCTCAAACCGGCGCGAATAGAGGTTTCCCGCCATTTTTGGAACCGCAAGTTTACCGCTTGAAGAAATAACCCCAATCTAATTGTTAATATTTAACAAAAGTGCTTAGTGCAATATGAGCACGAGACTGAGTGATGATCCTTGTTCCTTGATTGATTACTGATCAGTGATGATTTGGCCAAGGACGAGTGAGGTGGTCGAACCGATCTCTGCGACGCAAGCTCCACCATTTTTGTTTGGTGGTTTTGAATTCTAGAGAGTCACTTGAATTCTGTGGTGCCATTCAATATTTCACTGATCTTGAAAATCATCATCCTTTCATGGAACTGGCTGCCTACTGCATCACTTGTCTACTTTGACCTATCTCCAATGCATTCGTGGTGCAAGTGTTTTCACCAAGTCACCTACGTGAAAAACAAGCAACGAAATAAAATGTCCATTTAAAGGCCCGTTCACGCTAGTGGCATCGACATGCGCTTTGAGTCCTTAGCTGCAGTGCCTCACCGCGCACAACCGTTCACACTACGGTTGTAAGCGATAGCTCGAGACCGCGCGCTTTGAACAGTAGTTGCCATTTAGACCTAAATAAAAAGTTACAATATTCGTACCAATATTATATCATTCTTTCAAATCGCTAAACGGTAATGCATAAATTGACATGAGTAGCTAAAATCACAGAAACTAAACACATCATGTAAAAGTAACTTGCATCATTTGAAATCTGAATGTCTTCATAGAGAGTAGACGTTGACTGACGAAGAGCATCGCTGTCATTGATGAGACGAACCTGTCATTGATTAACCTCAATGATTCAAAGCACCATAGTTTCAGTTTGTACTCAATGATTCAAAGCACCATAGTTTCGGTTTGTACACTTGGTCAGCATCTGCGCCAGATTTGGTTGATTCTCGTTTCAGCGTAATTTCACGATGGAATTGTGAACGCAACGTATGGATTTTCTTTCGAACTTCAGCAATGGTGACTTCTACACACAAGTTTCTTAAAGCTCCAACTATTTTTACCATAGCTTGTTCCTTCGCATTTTGATTTTTGTACTCCTTTGACCGAACACTCCATAGGCATTCATTTTCTCTATAAAGATCAATTAGGCGCTCTACTAGAGAGTGACTCCAAACGAGAGTGGTGTTAGTCGACATTTGGTGTGCCGGACCAGCGTACACAATCAACCTTACTGGACCACAGACAGCTATCCACTAACTAAGAATTTAAAAGCAAAGAATAACCTACAAAAATTCATATATTTATAGAAAACGTTTCGGAGACCACCTCCATCGTCAGTTCGTAGAATCTAGAATCACAAATCAGAAGTCACAAATTAATACATTGAAACCATAGAACGAATTGAATTTCTTTAATTAATTAATTTAGATTTTTAATTTGATTTAAATTTTTAATTTAATTTAAATTCTTAGTTAATTTGCGATTTAAGCACACAAGTGATATCAATTCTTTAATAGCTATCTACTAAGCGCCGCGCTTGTGTTGCATGAGGCATGGCCCCTGTAAATCGCTAGCTCGTCAATCGGTCAAGAAGCGCATGTAGAGGCTGCAAAGCGCCTCTGCATGCGCTTTGAGGCACTTGATTCTCGCGTGTTGCCCCTAGTGTGAACGGGCCTTTAGAGAGGTTAGCATTTATTCAACTGATTGTCAGTTTCGAGCTTAGGCGCGGTGACAAAGTTAATAATTGAGCGAATGTCCACTTCCAGAACATATTCCTTTCCTATAAGGTAGATTTTAAAATTGTCGACGCCGAATATGATCGTCAGGCATTCCTTTTCGATGGAATAGGTACTTTGTACACGAGGAAGGAGCTTGCGACTCGCGTAAGCGACAAGTCGAGGCGGGTCCTGTTACTGCAATTGCAGTGTCCCCAGTTCGACCAGCGACGCGTCTGTACGGAGGGCGAATTGTTTTTACACATCCGGGAGCGCGAGGATGGGATCGCTTGTAAGGAAATTTTTTAACAATTTAAGGTTCTCTCGAGATAGTTGTGTAAGTTTTTTCGACATCTTTGTTAGAGGGTCCGTCAGGCTAGGGGCTCTTGGAATGAATTTTGCGGTCGAGATGCCTGGCCTAAAATTTACTTCAGGTTCTTCGTTCTAGGTGGCTTTGGGGAAAGAACAGACTATCTTATCGTATTTCGGTGCAACTGAATTTCGCCCTACGAAGAATCCCTAGCGATTCGCCTCAGGGTAACCGAAGCGGCAGCTGGCGGGGCGGGCGGTGAACTCGTGCTGCCTTTAAAGGAGCCAAGACTGCTGTCAATGCATATAGATAGTCTCTCCAAGATACGGAATGGATGAAAATCTCAGAAAAGAAGCAGATATCTAAGCCGTCCAATATTAATCTCATTAGTGACAAGTACGTAGCACAAGCGCCCACTGCGCCAAACGGCATTACAGTGAGTTCCGTTAGGCCTCTATGGGTATGGAATGCTGAAACTTTTTTTTGCCCGTTTAGTTACGGGAATGTGGCAGGAGATTTAGTTTTATGTTTCGGAAAAATTTTACTGTTAGGAAATTTATGGCGGTCTTCCTCCATGCCGCCAGTGGGTTCAGCTCTGAAGACCATAATTGAATAGAGGTGTCCATAGTCAACCGTAAGGCGATTGAACTCGTCTGGTTTTCGAACCATTACGACGGGGGAAGATTAAGAGGATGTCGATGGTTGAATAGGAACGAAGCTGCGTACCACCAAAATTGTACACCTATCAGCCCTGAAAGGAACGTCTAGCCTATTTCCAGATAAACACCAAACAGCCGCAGATTAATGACCTTATGACCTTATGATGAGTTTAGGACGTCGTAGTCCAAGGTCACGCTGATGCGCCGCCTTCGTCGTCCTCCGTCTCCGAGTCGTCGTCGGATGTAACGTTGGACGTGTTCCGTCTATTTGCCCTCATTTGGGCCAGCTGATGCAAGATGCTGTTGCTTGTCACTTGCTGAGGGTAGTTTCNTGTAGTACCTTCACTGCTTTTGCTGCACATGTGGTGAAACCAGTTAACAAGAAGAAACACAAATGCCTACTCTAACCTCAACTATACCCTATCGGCTATCCTAGCCTGATCGGAACTTATCTAATCCAACCTACCCTAACCAAACCTTGCCTTCATCAATGTTACCTAACCTATACCAACATATCGTACTTAAAATGTCAATGTCTTGCCTCCTATAGCACGTTAAATGTAGTCCCGTCCCGCAATTTCATTTCTAACAGACATAAAAACTATGCGAATTCCCATTCTAAGTTTTACCAAAATTCGTTCCATAATGAAAATGTAACTACAGCTTGCAATATTGCTACCAAGTCAATAGTTCATAGTGAAGCCCACTTACTTGGTTAGCATGAGGAGCGTCACATTCTTGACTATTAGCGCCTTTAGTGGAGCTCAGCTGGTAACTATTAATGATCCCTGCGTCCTACGAAAGATGCGTTTGAAGACTTCTTATCTTCAGTCGTACTCGGAGAAGCGCGGCGACTCAAAACTAACAACGGGATAGTGAGAAAGCGAAACAACTGATTCCACAGTCGTCAAAAGTTTTATTTATAAAAAGGAACAAGGGATGAAATGCATGTGCATCGTTTAATAAATAATTACATGTAACAAATAATAATGAATAATAAATATAACAAGCTGTAAGTGAGAACTCTCAGACCGAAGATGAAGACAAGATGGTTCGGCTGGGTGGGCCAACCGTTTAGGCTACCGGCGCTTGCTAGACATGAAGTCACATTGGTATGGTTGCAGGTCGCAGGAAGGTTGAATATTTCTTAGGTAGGCAAATTAGGAGTTTGCGGAGGAGCACGTTACTGATGACAGGCACGCTGTGACTCCAGCGCCATCCCAGCGTTACGAATATTAGTACACGAACGTACGAACGTAATGTTTATCGCGTTACGAATATTAGTACATATACCATATATACCAAATACCCAGAGCTGGGCAGCGTTACTTTGAAATGTAGCGGCGCTACCGCTACCGCTACATGCTCTAAATGTAGCGGGCGCTACCGCTACCGCTACACCCACTAGATTGTAACGGGCGCTACCGCTACCGCTACAGTAAAATGTAGCGCGCTACATTAGCCGCTACAATGGCCAAAATTATTGGAAATCTCTAAATATTTATTGTTCTGCTATTGGGATTTACTCATTAACATTTAATGATAATAAAACATTTTTAAAACATATCAATGCAACTTTATTGCAATTAACCTAACCGAACTAGTATGGGTTACCCCAGGGTTAGATACAGTAAATAAAAGTTACAGTTATTTTTATGTTTTACCTTCCCTACATGGATGTGAACTTTAATCTACCAATCTAAGAAATTATCCACATATACATATAAAAATCAGTCTTTTTTTTGTATATATATGTGGATTATTTTTGAGATTGGTAGATTAAAGTAGACATCCATGTAGGGAAGGTGAAACATAAAAATAACTGTGTAAAAATAACTGTAAGCAAACTGAAACATGAAAAAATACCTGTAAGTGGTAACTGGTAACAACTTAACAAGTAACAACTAACATGTTGACACTATTAACAGGCTGAGGTTGACAACATTACACCGAAATCTTTCGTACAGTTTTATTCTGTAATTTATACTATGTATGTATAATGCTGGTTTTTAAATAATATATATTACTATTAAAAGTAAAATCTAAAGGCTTTATCAATAGATATAGCGGTTGCGCTGTAGCTGCAAAACCTCGTATCGCTACTTAAATATCGCTACCGCTACCGCTACAATTGCTATCGTGTCGCTACCGCTACAATTGCTATCGTGTCGCTACCGCTACCGCTGCAATTGCTTAAATGTAGCGCCGCTACCGCTACTGAAAATGTAGCGGCCGCTACATGAGCGCGCTACTGCCCACCTCTGCTGAGACCTTCCAACTCGTTGGTGATGTTCATCTTGACTTTCGGTGCAAGACAGCTGAAGAGCTAGTAAGCCTGTGGCCACTAAACTAATTAACTTATTGAACGCACTGTCCAGGTATTAAAGAACAGCTCATGAGTCGGATCATATTCTGGTACTTAGCTTCGCACCCAACCATCTTCGAGATCATTGGTAGATGCTTCAAAATTTTTTCTGTTGAATTAATATTACATGTGCAAAGTAGGGTGGCGAAAGGGATGTAAAATAGCCAAGACTGAGCACGCGCATGTCTCGAGCGACGAGTCAACTATTCTATATTGCTTGTAATCTTTAGCACGCCATCATCGACAGTAAGCAAATTTCTAAAATATCATCACAACGAATACATGCATCGAGAATATGTAAGAATCATCGCTTAAATATGCTTAGCGTGGAACACTTCCTTATATAATTTGGTACACGACTGCATTTGCCATGGGCCTATTACATTAATATCTCTTGTACATTCTATATCTCCGTAGCAACAGTTTGGAACTTGGAGATTGATATTTCAAATAAAACCTGCCTGCGTAAAAATCCTTCTTTTCCCTACTTGAGAGCACATTGGCATTAATTTGTTGCATATTGTTGTACAAGAGGTTTCGAGCCTTTAAATTTCATATTGGCCTATACCTGTCTCTTATACACATCTAGATGTGTATAAGAGACAGCCTCACATGTGATCAAGGTTTTTGAGAAGGTAGTGGTCAGGAGGCTTGTCCGGTATATGGCAGAGGCTGACCTGTACAATAACGGCCAACATGGCTTCCGGCGTAATCGTTCCTGTTTGTCGCAGTTACTGGAGCACCATCACCGTCTGGTGGCCCAGCTGGAGGAGGGAGCTTGCGTGGACGTGGTATACCTAAACTTTGCTAAAGCTGGGAAGCGGGGGTTTTAGGGGGGGAGGGTCATGCCCGTGGCTCTAATTCGTCAAAAAAATCGGGCAAAAATCGGCAAAATCGGCGAAAAATTGGAAAAATCGGAATTTTTTTTTTACTCGAAATGATCTATATCGATCTGGGAGTGACTGTAAGCCTAAGTAGATCCTAAAAATCGCGCTAACAATGCCTAAAATCGGCGAAATCGGCGAAAAATCGGTAAAAAAAATCGGAAAACATTTTTTGACTGGAAATGATCTTTATCGATCTGGGAATGACTGTAAACCTATGTAAAACCCTAAAATCGCGCTAAAAATTGCTAAAATCGGTGAAATCGGCGAAAAATCGGAAACTTTTTTGGATGGGAACGCCTGTTACGTTTGAGTGGCGTGGAACCCCAATGTTCAGCGATGGGGGTTGAGCTCCTAAACCCCCGACCCCCAACTATGAGTGGCGTGGAACCCCAATGTTCAGCGATGGGGGTTGAGCCCCTAAACCCCCAGGGGGAGGACGAGACCTTACGTTACCCTGCGGTGCGGGTTGAGCCCTAGAGCCCCCAGAGAGGGGGAGACTCTCCCCAACGGGGGATGGGTGAGGTGAGCCCCAAGAGAGGGTGGGGGGGAGACTCTCCCCCACGGGGGTGAGGTGAGCCCCCAGAAAGGGTGGGGGGGGAGACTCTCCCCTACGGGGGGTGAGGGGGAGACTCTCCGCCACGGGGGGTGAGGTGAGCCCCCACAGAGGGTGGGTGGCCCTCCCCAATGAACTGTAATTATTATTATTATTATTCTTGTTTTTATACATTATGTATTACATTATATTATATTATATTATATTATATTATATTATATTATATTATATTATATTATATTATATTATATTATATTATATTATATT